TTTTAATTCTTAATAAATATTTGTTTAACCCAGTGTGCCTGGATTAAGACTCTTTTCATTAAAGCTGCGCCATAGCACAAAGAACAAAATTGTTTACAAGTTGGCAGTTATGAGTGATTTACTTATTGTCTAAACTTCTTGGCCTATTTCTGATATTTTCTAGGTTTGTAACCCATATTTGGTATAATATATCAATACACCTATGCAAGACTAATACCAAGCTAGAAGAAAAGCATACGCAGAAAGTGGGTCAAGTGTACATTAAGATAAGTGGTTTGAAGAGTAAAATATGATAACTTCCTGTTGTTAGCCCATAAAGAATTACTGCCATTTAAAGTCATATAAACCATTAACCATTTAAACCTTAGCATCAGCAACTATAGTGCCCTATAAAGGTATTGGACAGCAAAGTTATGTTCGCTTTGCAATCAAGAAATTTATATTTGTGATCATAAGATTAATATAAGTACAATTTTCATTTCTGCAATTCAAGCATACATTTGATCACATCTGACCAAAGTTCAAGGTATATTCATTTTCAGTTAATTATAGAATGTGAAAGTAGTGAGCATTTGATTTCATATTCCTTTCAGGCAATAACTGTATGACGTCTGTGACACTGTTCATCAAACTTTATTGTATAATCATTTTAGATACTTTGCTAGGCCTTTGTTATAGCCAGTTAGTGTTAATCTATTCTTTGAGTGTTCCGACATAATTTGTTTTTTCTTCAGCATGTAAAATACCAGATTGATTGGATTGCCACTTTGTTCTCTGTAATATCACAAAGCAGTCTCCATGCTCATTGCCAATGTTAGACCGTACAGGCGCAGACTGCATGAATACTGAAGTGGGAGATGTATATATCTCATTTATCCAGCATCGCAATATCACCACTTAAGCACACTGTGAGAGGTGTTGCTGGGGTCTGTTAATTTAGACTTCAACAAAAGTTACGCTAAGATGTCATAAATCTGACTTGCTTTAGCAGCCCCAGTGACTTAACGCCGTGTAATAACAGACAGGAACATTACCCACAAACAGGATAAAGCAGATCAAAGTCTGCTTCATATCAAAGGACAGAACCTAGAGCAAGACAGAGCAGGACAAGAAGTTAATTACATATCAAAGAACAGGACAAGCACTCAGATTGTGAAACAGACTTCTGAGTGTATATACAGTAAGAGCTGGGAAACCCTTGCAGTTTGTCTGCTCTGAGGGGCAGACCCAGTGCGCGTTGTTGTCATTATTGAGCTCAATAAAACGGAATCTGCACAAATCTGTGTCCTGCTCCTCTGATGAAGAATTTCCCACAGCAATACATTTGCCACACGTCCACTGTCCATTATGCATCTTACAGGACTGCCATGGGAAGGCAGTGGGCCATCAAGACCCCCTTCGTGCTGTAATGCACATTAGCATGACAGTGTCACATGAACTAACGACAACATGTGTGCCGACAACATTCTTGTGATAAACTCCTTGGCTGCATTGGTCTATGTATTGAGTCAGTGTCAAGCTACATAGTGAAGTATCTCCTCATAAGTATGAAAGCATTTTCATCTACATAACCAGACAACATATTGCTGTAAAATTCAGATTTAATTCTGTTGCTGCCATCATTAGTTACCTCACCAACCAAAAACAGCTCCAAGAGTCAGTTCCAAAGACTTCTATGCATACCCAGGTCATGACAATTTCTCCACCATGCATGACAGATGATGTGGTGTTCTTTGGAGAACCTGCAATTCCTTTCTTTCTCCATACTTTCCAACCTTTCCATTACTATTGCATACGTTCATCTTGGCCTCTTTTGTCCATTAAACACTAGCCGAACTCATCTGACTTAAGGTTTTGGTGCTGATGAGAGGTTTACATTTTGCAGAGCAGCCTTTGTACTGTAATTCTGATCTTGTCTCAGTCTTCCATGAATTGTGGATTTTGATATCCCTGCAGATGTTTTAGAATATTCCTCACATGTCTGATCATTTCTGTCATCAGCTGGTATCTGGTAACTGTCTCATCAACCTTTCCTGGTAGTTTTCGACTAGTACTGCACGTATACTTGTCCTTTATGAGCCTAATTACTCAACAACAAACACCTGACCAACAAAGGACAGCTCTCAGCCAATTTTCCCTACACTTTGGCTACCCTCAAAATATAGAGGTTCAACATTGTAAATCTGTATCTTTGTCAATCTAACATTGTAAATCTAAGGGGTAGAACTTTCATGTTTTTTTCACAATATGTTATTATAAGAATTCATAGTGAAGTTTAGAATTCCCAGTACTTTTGGAGGCCTCAATGTACACTGTGTACATTGTTCATGCCAATCCACAAATGTGTGAAGTCTTCATTCAGGGAACATCATATCTGCATGGCTTTTAAATCACATATACAGTTTGCAAGGTTACCAGATAAAACAAATCACCTTGGAAGCTTTCTTAAATAAGAAATGCATATGTTAAGACTTTAAAACTTCCCAAAGATGTCAAGTTTCTTCTTAAAGATGAAGACATTCCATTATTATGAGCCTGGTTACATACTTTTTTTGGGCCATATTTCATTAGACCGGACAATAGCACCTTGGTAAAAATCCAGACATCTCTTTACTATAGTGATTAACATCCATTTTTATGATACTCTACAAATGTCATTTGAAGGGGTAACCAAAAATAAAAAGGAAGATCTCTTTATTTTGGTTTTATTTGTTTTATGTATTTCTGACACAATGTACTTTGAGGATTTGTTTCCTTTTAGTCTCTCTTTAGTCTTTTTTCATTTTACTATAAATTTAGAATGGGGAATTATTTTGTTATAAACCCTCTATTTTAAGAATAGCTAAATGTGTGTTTACCAAGGATTTGGCACACAGATACAAACCAAGTAACTTCACTCGAGGGAGAAGGAGTAGGCAGACTCCTCTGAACAGCCCATGTTTGAATTGCTCATCTTTGAACACGTCACTGGTCAGGCAGGTTCGTGCTGGTGGCTCAGTGCACGCTGGAGGAGAGGCACATCTTTCACAGACGAGCTCAAAGGAGGGACCTGTGCTGCTTGGAGACAGCCCTGCCAGCTAAAAGCAACCCTACTCTTGGTGGCAATCTGCCAACTGTGCGCCACTGCTTGGGGAATCCTGGTCGCAGTTCATCGGTTGGATGACCCAAGCTCGAACCCACAGGACCTAGGTCAGAGACCTCAATCTCTGCTCACACAAACACCTTTGTCAGCTCAGCTACTCAGAAATCCTCCCCAAGAGCCTTAAAAGAAAGCAAGGTTGCAACTAAGTCTCTTATTTTTCACTCTCCCTAAATCGATTTGACCTATGTGATTTATCACTACAAACAGTGCCCTTTTAAGGTTTATGTACTGTACATACACATACAGTAGGTATAGAAAGTCACCTTTCAAAATGTGTACCTTATGTTGAATGACACCCTGAAAATAAAAACAAATAAAAATAGGCTTATTCCATTTTTATTTACATACAGTAACCCATATTAGCCACGTGAAAATAAAGTTCTAAAACATTCTGAAAATTAATTAATATTACAAAAGTAAAAAACCCTTATTTGGATAAGTGAACGCCCCCCACCCCCTTACAATTGTATTTGTAAACTTGCTCAGGCGTAACCAATCAACAAACTAATTGGCTCCCACCTGTGAACAACTTTGGTGATTGTGATTAGTTCAGAATAAAAGCAGCTGTTTCTAGAGGATTCCACTGCTTGGAAGTGCATTTCAAAACAAATAATCCACTCTGGGCAGAAGGGTACTTTCAAAAGAACTTTCAGATAAAGTTGTGGAAAGAAACAAGTGAGGAGATGGGTATAAAAAGATTTCAAAGGCTTTAAGTATCCCATTGAGCACAGTCAAGATCATCAATAAGAAGTGGAAGGCATATGACACCACCTAGATCTTGCCTAGATCAGGCCGTCCCTCCAAACTGGATGACCGAGAAAGAAGGAGACTGATCAAAGAGGCTCCCAAGAGGCCAATGGCAACTTTGAAAGAGCTACAGGCCTTTATGACAAAGACTAGTCATTGTGTGCATTTGTCAACAAGATCACAAGCGCTCCACAAATCTAAAAGGATTTGGTTTTGCTAAAAGGAACCTTAAGGATTTTGTGGCCAAGTGGCAAAAGGTGCTGTGGTCAGATGAGACCAAAATCGATTTTTTGGGCCAGAATGCAAAACGGTATGTCTGGTGAAAACCCAATACATCTTGCCATCCAAAGAACACCATGCCTACAGTAAAGCACAGTGGTGGTAGCATACTGTTGTGGGGGTGTTTCTCCTTAGCTGGGACTGGAGCACTTGTCAGGACAGAAGGGAAGATGGATGGTGCAAAATACAGGTAAATTCTTGAAAAAAACCTGCAGTCCTCAGCCAGGATGTTGAAAATGGGAAGATGGTTCACCTTTTAACATGACAGTGAACTGAAGCACACTGCCAAAGCAAATGTACAGTGGCTAAAGGATAGGAAGGTGAATGTCCTTGAGTGGCCTAGTCAGAGCCCCGACCTAAATCCCACTGAAAATCTTTGGAATGACTTGAAGAGGGAAGTCCATCAACGGTCACCACGCAGCTTGACTGAGCTTGAACAATTCTGTAAGGAGGAATTGACAAATATTCCTCCCTCTAAGTGTGCAAAGGTGCTAGAGATGTATTCAAACAGACTCAAGGCTGTGATTCAAGCAAAAGGTGTTTCAACCAAGTATTAACTCAGGGGGGTGTTCTCTTATCCAACTCAATGATTCTACTTTTTGTTCAGAAATTTAGCTTTCTTTTTTCACTTGGATGTTGCAAGGTACAATTTGTAAATAAAACTGGAAAAGGTCTGATTTTATTTGTCTTCTTTTTGGGCTTTAGGGCACCAAAAGGTGAACCTGTTAAAAGGGGGTGGTGACTTTCTATACCCACTGTACATACCACTAGACATTTGCCTTACAGTTTATAATGTAACGGCAAACAAAACAAGTGAGGAAGCAGCACTCACAGATTAATGAAATTCTCCGATTGTCTGGAATCAGTCATCGGTCTGCTTCTCTCCACTTTATGCTGGTTTTGACCAAGATGAACAAACCTGCAAAAGAGTAAACAAAGACACACAGGCACAACAATCATAATAAATCACTCAGCTTAACCGGTTTACTTTCAATAAAAATGTCTTAAATATATATGTTTTACAACGAGGAAAAAGAAAAAGAATTAAGGCAAAGCCATAAAATATACACTCCACTTTCTCATTACTTGCAAATTGACAAGGCTTTCAAAACACTTCATGGGGACACAAAGAGGCTGAAAAAAGGTCACAGGAATTCCAGATGAATTTGTTTCTACATGAAGGAGCACTGCGGCTGGTTTATACCAGAAAGTCAACTATGTCAAAGCAATTTTTATGGAATATTTACTAGTTCTTCAAATGCAAACTAGCAATCTGACATTCTTTTCAAAATGAAAACCTTAAAGAAACACTAAATGGGTATCTCTTATCAAAAGAATCCTATTTGCTCTAATATCAATATTTAAGGCAATAAAAAGCAATTGCTTTTAAAAATCATGGGATTCATTAACAGTGATGACTTTTAGCATCCGTTTTACTTACACTTGTAAAACACAGGGATGCATTAATTTAAGTACTTCATCTACATTTATTTCCAAGATTGCTTTTTTAAACCTAATAATGCAAAAGGTTTATTCCTGTAACAGTGTCCGCATGATACCAGTATGCTTCCAAAGCAACATAAAAGAAACACAAAAGATTATTTCAAAAGATGAAGAAAAAACATAATAGATAAGACAATCTTTAATAAAATATTCCAAAAGTAATTTCAAAGCCCTTCTTTCAGTGTTACTATGTATTTCCCTCAAGAGAACTCAACGATAAAAAAACAGATGGTATTTTTTTCTTTGCCAGCATTGTACCTAATCCTTAAACATCAAAGAGGTATCTTGAAATATGAAATACACACATGTACAAGAGGAGTTCATTTACGAAGATAAATGAGGAAACCCCACATTACCTTTTACACCAATTCAAAGCAGTACTTAAGAAATATGACTTCAAAACCAGTTTCCTCTTGGAGAGTTACACTGTACTTAAGGAAAATAACTGAAAATATACACATGCTTTTTAGTGATTTTATGAATATTCAGACATTTTAAATTTTGCCAAATGTATAAATACTAAATATTTAGCCAATAATAAATATTTAATATTTATTTCCAAAGTGCAACTTAAATGGTTGTCAGGGAGATTTCAACATGATGTTCATATAAGGATGATAGTATTTTTCTTAAGACAAAAGATGAAACCATATCTGGTAATATTCTTAGAACTATTAATTTACTAATATCATTATTTTTTTAGGCAAAAGTTCTTAAATATGAGGTTTACTCAATATAATTAAAAAAAACTTTCATTTAGTCAACTACTGCCATTCACAATCATTAAAAAATAATGTGATACACTTGAAGGAACCTATATCTTGTTATGAATTATCAATTAATTGTTTTATTGTTTTGCAACATGAAGGGAACAGGAGTATTGGTTTGTTGCCAAGGCTGACCTGAGCTAACTGCCTGACTCTCTGACCTGGCTTACACCTTATAAGGCAACAAACTGTTACTGACCAATCATACAAATGTATATTTTCATATGAAAGTTTTGCTCACCTTGAAGAATAAAAGACTGTTGTTCTGTTTGAAAACATGAGCGGGAGACGAGGTTAACCTGTTAATTTAATCTGAGCTCCTTTATTGCAATCAAATTATTTGATTCGTCAGAGCCGTGTATGGTTTTCTTTGTGGAGTCTATCACATTAAAATGTTAAAGTGTTTAAGTACTTGAATTAAGAGATTACAAGGTTTGACATGGAATAATTTTTCCCCCAGTTACATTGATCATACACAGAACAAATGTTAAATTCCTGTTTTAGTTTTACAGAATTCAAAGTACTATATGTGGTTTATCTGGTTTCAGAAATACTGTGGTCACCAGGACAAAGGCAAGCCTGACAGTAAGAGATACAGACTGGCAGATAAGGAATGGATGGAAAGTTAAATGGACTGATGGATATCCACCCTCTTACACACTAGATTCTAAGGGTAAGACACAAGCCCATTTACTGTACATCTGATTTCTGATAAAGCATGGAACTGCTCTTGATGGTCACAACTGAAGAAGAAATTAACACAGATATAACAAATCCAAAGACCTGTCTATTTATCTCCTAGCTTTAATATTAATGATAGATTGTGTGGAGTGCAGGCTCTTCCAATCACTCCCTTCACAATATTAAGAAACATTATCATGTGTGTCAGTGTAACTGCACTTCAGACTTTAATCTATTCTCATAACATTAAACATATAGAAGAGTGCATTAGAGTGGTTTTATTTTAAGCTTGTTTGCTCTTACTAGTTTGCTGTACACACACAAGTGATACATGCGAGTCCACAAGTGTTATTTACATTTCAATAGAGCTGTTCAACTTCAAGTGCCTCATTTCAAGGTTCCTTAATTTGAATTAACAGAGGGAACAGAGGGGTGGAACAGCAGGTTCAAGGTCTGGGTTACAAACTCATTCTGATAATTACATTACAATTAATCATGGGGGTTATGAAGATGGAGCTTCAGTGCGACAACATTTTTTTCTGCTTGTTATCCCATTCTTAAATTATACAATTTTTACACTGCACCTTTCCAATATGCCTAACATACGTTTCAGAAACACATTTTTAAGATTCTAATTTTGATAATGCCCATATGTTCAAAGTCCCTAAAGCGCACAATAGATACCTTCACGACTGAAGAGCTCCCCAGCAATTGTGCCATTTTCCAATTCACACTTCAGAAAAAAAAGACTCCTACTGTATATGTTATACTGGAAATAAACTGGTAGCATTTCCAAGGGTGCCTCTAGCATCCCTGGCTATGCAGAACGAGAGGCTCGTGGAAAGGACAAGGCCATTGTGAGGAAGACACATTACAAAATAAACATGTACTATAGTGCCACAGGCTTTACTTCACTCCTCATTTCACAGTCAATCAGGATATAAAAAATTAATCATACTGCCTTTTTAACCACACCCGCTGAAGTAGAATGTTTCCCATTCCCCCATGCAACCAAGCAACTTTCTGGATATGCATTATTACCTGTGATAGATGAGCATATCTTTTTCTTCTGGAAAATCACAGAGGTTGAGTCCATATGTTTCCTTCATGGGGTGCTGGAGAAAATCCTGCATAAAAACACAAGATTTATACATTTACAGTATATAGCAGGGCATTTACTGAAACAATCTGAGAAAATTATCATATTATCACAACAGCACCATCCCACTCAGGATCTGAACATATGAATTAACATGACTGTTTTGAGCACTTGGGGTAGGTCTGCTTCATAGCATTCACTGGTTGAGATTAAAAACATTCCAAAAGACTTCCATTTAACCTGCACCTGTCTGGTTGCTCTGGTCTGGACTGATTCCAGAGCAGGAATATCATCTTTTTTTTCGTAACAAGGTGACCACAATATGCTAAACATGGTCTTAGCTAGTGCGTTGTTTTGACATAATATCCTTTCATTTAAGAGACACATTTAGCTCCTCTTTTCATAAACAGATTCTTCCAGCACAGTGTTTTCTCCCTCTTCTATTTATAATACATGTTTCTGTTACTTGCATGAGATACTCTATGTTCTACTTCCACCCTGATGGAAGGGTTTTTTTCCCTGACAATTGCAATATGAGATTCCGTAAGCAGTGGGCGGTGTGGTGGCTCTGTGGCTAAGGATCTGTGCCTGTGGCTAGAAGGTTGCTGGTTCGTATCCTGCAGCCAGCGGAGGAATCCTCCACTGGCCCCTGAGCAAGCCCCTTAAACCCAACTGCTCCAGGGGCGCCGTATAAATGGCTGACCCTGCGCTCTGAACCCAAGCTTCTCTCCCTGTCTCGTGTCTGTGTGTCTCATGGCGTCACGTTGGGGCATGTGAAAAGACAAAGTCCTAATAAAAGAAATTGTATATGGCTAATAAAGTGACCTATCTTCTCTATCTCTTATGGTGTCCCCTGGAAGAAGGGTTGTCTATACACCCAATGCATAACCAGTCTGAATTGAGCTCAGGTACAAAATAGCACTATTTCGATTTCAGTTGCAGATAAGGCCATTCATCTAAAATTCCTTCCGAGGGTGTGTCTGACCTACTGTATTATAAACAGCAAAGGAACAAGTAAAGGTTAATTCCATGCTGAAAAGAGAAGAAAAGAAACAACGTTTCGGCTGTGGAGCCTTCTTCAGGTGTGCCATTTGTTCCTTTGCAGCCTACGCATGCTGACGCAGCCCCCTACTTGAACTAATATTATAACCAGGATCACCCGAAGCTACAGTGCCTGTAGAAATTCTACACACACTGTCCAGATTAACACATCATATGGCCTAATAGCCTGAAATGAAGATACATTAAATAATTTATTATACCTTTATTTACACATTGTAACACACAACCTCCAAGTGAAAAAACAAATTCTCAAATACATATTCTGAAAAATAATTACAAATGAAAACCTACATACTGTAAATGGATAGGAAAAGCGTACACACCACTGAGTTGGGATTTGGTGGAAGAACGTTTATTCTACAATTTCCTCAAAGAAAAACCCTGCTCTGGGCGAAATGAATAGACCCCAGAATGATTTGTTTATTTACTGGATGTCCAGGACGTGGCACCAGACATGACAGACAAAAGGGAACCGGCTGCATTTGAGATTCTGATATTTGGTTCAGCAGAAAAGACAACAGAAATACATAAGAATGCCAGTTGTTACTTTCCCAAATCATCTGCCCTCATTTTAGTAAACACCAGTAAAATAAATGTAGTTTACATTGTTGAGTCCTACCTATTTTTCCATTTAGATTTAATTCCAAGAAAATTACAAACCACTTTCATGTAATCAGCAAATGATCTTCTTGACAGTCCTACAGAATAGTAAAGCCTTCAAAATATTTTTTATACTAACTATACAATTGCCTATACACTACTTCAATGATCAAAACATTTTTCTTGTTGCAACAAGAATTTAACATCCTTATTCTAATTAGGTGTTTTGAAGTGCAGTTCAGAAAAGCCAAAAAAATAAAACTAAACAGGGCATTTAATTTCTTTTGCACAAGCTCTTCGTAACAAAACATTATTTCCGCATAAAGTAATATGCAATATAAAATTTTAGACTTCTCTCCAGAGAACATTTGCCACAGATACCAACAGTTTTAAATACAGATGTAAAGTAATTTGAATGTTTTGTTTTTTCTGATAAAACAAGGAAAGGAAAAAATATTGTTTTAATCATGAAACAGATCTCCACTAGGGTCTTTTACAAGCTATAATAAATTCAATTAATACATTTAAGAAATTCAAATAGCCTTAACTGCTTAAATGCAAATATGAAAAAATGTGACTTTTTTAACCTCACAATGTAAACAAAAGTGAATAAAGTGCCACTCGAAGTATTGCATTCATGTTTTCAGAAAAGTTTCAAAATGAAAAACAGCATTTAGATGTAAATCGAGGATGGAGACAGACATGCAAGAGTGTGATTCACACTTTAAGCGACAAAACTTATGGCTACCAAAATGTGTTCTGGATAGCTTAAGCACTCCGAAGATTGCTCCCCATCCCCAAACAAACCAGTAACACCAATGAGTAAGAGTTTTGTAGCATGTGCAGGCCATGTACATAAGTGTTTAAAAATACTTACAAGTTTAAATATACCAAATAACTTACCAGAAAGAAAACATTCAACCTCAAAGCATTTTTAAGTTAAGACCACAATCTGAATCAAATTAGTTACTTAAACGTGGACCAAATCAAACACAAAACTTCATGGTGGCTTCAGTTTGCAAGAGGCCTTCTCTACTGTACAGTATATACCCCTCATATTTGAACGCCATTAAGGCGTAGATTTGTGTTTTGTGATTAGTGGGTGCAGTGAATTCGGATTTGGCTCAGACTAAATCTACAACATCTTCTGCTTATAGCATCTGTAGAAATCTCTCCAAGTAAACCACTTTTACTTAAATGTGTATAAATGTGGTTTATATTTTCATTGCATCAAACTTTACAATGCAGTGAAATCCAGCTATTTTCCTGTTACATGTGGAGCTCATTCTATGAAGTATGAGCGGAGTCTTGCAAATTAAGAATATTATATAATATTACAAGCTATTAGGCAACTTCAGATTCAATATTGAGACACATCACAGCACCCAGCATACATTGAAACAACATATTTGTTTTGCATCATTCACCTATAAAACCCCCTCCAAACCCTATCTTTCCAAATGCTCGTCAGTAATCAAAAACATGATAACGCCTTTGACTGAAATAAAGTGGAAATTTTCACGGTTACTGAGGATTGTTCAGCTCTCTAACCCATTAGCCAGCATATCCCAGTATGTGTTCTATTCTATTCATTTTTCATCAGATCATACAAGACTTACCCACCATCAACAACTGCAATTGAGAAGAGGTAAGCCATGAATTGGCTTGGATTTACGTTACATCAAAACTAATGTATAACTTTGGGTAGATTTTCTTCACAATACATATTTATTAACATGCTGTACATCTACACACTCCTTTTCCGACATCTCATTATAAAAAAAAAAAACTGCTCATTCCTGGTAATGGCCACATCAACCTAAAGTCTCTTTTTGGGGCATGAAGCAGTAGGGGAGGGGACACCAGTCCATTTCAGGGCTAGCGCAGACACTTCTTTCAGTGTGTGCAGAAATACGAGTGTCAACTTTCTTAAGTCTTGTATAAATTTATAGTAATGATTAAACATTGAGATTAAAAATAACAATTGACATCAGTAGGTCCTTGTGCTTGCTATCTATTCCATGGGACAAATTGTATGTTATCACAAACGCCAAGCGTTCAACTTATTACTCATCAGATCCTGCTTTAGACACATGTACTAATTTGAGGTTAAAGGAGTATGGGAACAAGCTACTGATCATGCACTAATGTTACTAGTACAGTACACCTAAGGATTGTCACAACCAGGGTGCCTTCAAGCAGAAAATAGTGAGCATAGTCAGGTACTGTACCTGCACAGCAAGAAACACAGCCTGATACTTATATTTGCAAGCCTTTCCTGGATAAATATTGAATGCAATATTTACATATACATTTCAAATATAAACACCCACAAATTCTAAGGTTCTGTATCTAACTGCTTCAAAAATGATGCACTACATGCTATCATTTTGATTAACTGATAATTCATGAAGGACCATGATATACAGTACAGTTGATATCAAAAGTCTACACACCCTTATTGACATATCATGTCAGATTATCATGACAGACATGTCAATAAGGGTGATTAGACTTTTGATATCCACTGTATCTGAATTACTTTTAAGATTAAATCACCTCATTAGGAAGACAGTTGATATTAACACAGCCAGCAGAAATGGAAACTAAATGGAAGTGCACTTAAATCTGAAAACAGGAGGCACCCTCTCTACACAAAGGATTGTGGGATTATGGAACAAGCTACCGTGCCATATTGTGAAGCCACATTAATTAGATTGAATACCACGTGATTCATCAATATTACTCAGGTTTATATCTGCAGGTGATTAGGTGTGAATAAAAATATGCCTCGCATGTTTTCTGAAAATCAAATATTTCCAATAAGATAAATATGGTTTTGCTCTATGCAATGCTACACAAAACATGGAAAAGGGGACAAAGTTACTGAAAATTAAAAATGTATTGTGATGGGTATGCCTCTAAGACAAACCAGTGAAGTTAAATTTCCCAACCATTTCATATATATTACCTTTTAAATTTGAAATAAAGAGGATTTTGTGTAGGCGTTTAGTATTTAAAAGAGAACCCGTTAAGACTACTACATTTTTCTGAAGTCTACGATAAACTGAAAGGTTCTCTTTTACTGCAGCTAATTAAACAGAATGAATTTCCATTGCAGAGTTCCCATGTAATTTCCGGTCTAAAAGAGAATCAAAGACAACTCTTGCAATTACTGCTAGAGCAATTAGCAAAAGCACAACCCTTTGAAATGGATATTCCTGCTCTTGCTCTTCTGCAGGCTGCCTGTGCTGTGAACCAAAAGCCCTTGGTTGTGCAGGTTATTGTGCAGCTCATTTGGCCATCGCAAGGATCTTGTTACAAGCCGTTAATAAACCAAGAGACCCACAACAAAATGGCTACCGAAAGATCCCAAAGAAGGAGCAGCCTCAAGTTTCAAGTTTTCTAGAGCAATTACAATTTTTATTCATGTCTCAACTAATCGGAGTAATCAGCACCATCGTCCGTGATGTTTTTGAAATGATTCTTCATGCACATGATATAAAAAAGCAAAAGCCTCAGAGGAGGAAGTCAACACAACAGTTACGAAAGGGCAGTCCCCATTCACTGAACCATCAGAACATGTCTGGAGATGTAACCTGGTGCTGATAATGACAGATGTGATGCATAACACTTCCAAAGGATCTGAAATCCGCGGGAAGTAACTGCATACCTCCTGGCCCCGGGTGCTGTCTCCAGAGTCGGCGAACTTGACAGGCGTGGAGCGCTGGGACACTGCCCCCTCCTCTTCCTTGTCTGTGCCAGAGTCATCCTCGGAGCTGCTGGAGATGGCCTCTTCACTAGGTGGAGGAGGGGCGCTAGCAGCTGTCTTCCGCTGCAGGACTGCTTCTTCTTTGCTGCTCTTGTTGCTGAAACAGTGGAGAGTATGCTTTTTACATATGGGATGTACTGTACACTGTCAGGTTAGAAGGAGTGGATTGTTGTGAAAATCGATCAACTCCTAACCTAGTATTACCAGGTCTTAATTAGCCCTCTCTGTAATTCCATTTATCACAACTACTGTAAATTGCTGAGATTTAATATTGTTGACTTTACTACCTGTATATTGAAAAGCAAAACTAGAAATGTCATCAAATGGGAACATTTGGAATTGTAAATTGGCTACAAGAGAAAGATCAAATATGGACTGCTCTTGGGTGCAAAATTTACTTTATGCTTTCAGATTTAACATGATATACAGTAGTAGCAACATCCATCTTCTATGCCACTCTTTACTATCGTTTACTACTGAGTGCTAACTTTGAGAGCACCAACACTGTTACACTTCAGAGGTGCAGGTATCATGGATCACACAGTGAGCAGAGGCACGAAAAAGCAATCGTGCAGCTGCTCTGAAGTTTCAGTTGTGCTCTGTAATGACAATACCACGGTAAAGCAAGACATTGAGAGGACCTTTTTGAGAAGGTCTGCTTCAAAGCTCAAAATACAAAGACCAGCTACTAGATATGACATTGACCTTTCTCTATGCTAGCCTAAATTGTTCACAATGCTACAATAAGAATACAGAAAATGGTGGTTAATTTAGGTTCCTATAACAACTTGCATTGAAAAGGGAATAAGAACTTATATTACTTATATTCATTTCTAGAAACAGTCACAGATTATGATTAGCACACTCTGCAAAACTATTTGAATCACAACTGTGTGAATCTTAGTTTAATAACCATAAAGCTTGTTTTGTTAATTTAAAGTTAATATAGTGTGCATATTCATATTAGTATTTACCATATTTATGAATGTATTATTTACAAGGTATTAAAGCATGTGAAATATCAGGAGTCCTTTTTAATTAATTCTACATTTACACATCACAGACACAAGTGGATGCCAAAGTATTACAAAAACTCAATAAAGAAAAAAGTAAAGACCAATTATATCATACAACCATTTCACAGTAAAAGAGTGTTTAAGAAGACTAAGTAAAAACTACTTACTTTAAGTCTAAATGTAGCTATTGACATTAAGTCAAATCTGAACTTCAATTCTAAAAATCTAAACTTTAATTATAAACTTTATTCCATTTATTTAAACTTCATTTCTCTTTATTTTATTTGGAATTGTAAACTGATTTTTAAACAAGTCTTTTTAAGGAAAAACAAACACAAATCAACTTTAAAATATGTACAATGTGGTCAGGTAAGGGTTTCTGATAAGGGTTTCTAAATAATGTGACTCTATATATTATTACCTACAAAGGTAATTACTGGTTAAACTGTGGGAGTCACATAACTACAAGGTTGTGAGTCAAAAGGATCTGACAAAAAGTCAAATTAATAAATTAATGAGTCTTCATAAAACAGGAAGCGTTGCCTGACTTGTACAAGTAATTGATCACAAAAGGGTCTTGACTAGCACTAGGAAAAACAAACTGCCCAGGTCTTTTAGGATCAGCAAAAAAGAAAAGTAACACCTGCTAAAAGGACACAAGGTGATGCAAATTCACATTTTCATTAGTAGGCAAAGCCGACACATGACACTGAATGTTTCATGACCAATGGCTCACATCTGTGGGGACAAAAATATTGTGTTGGGCAACGGAAATATATCTATCTGTGAAATATTCATCTTGCAGGTAACATGAGAATATTAAAAAGTAAAAGGAACTCAACCCATAGCTACTGCATGGCTTCCCCACTGAAAAGCTGTCCACGTGTTTGCTGTCCATGTGACTCTCCAAGCAAGGAGAACTGAGTGAGCTGGCATGCGTGGAGCACTGGGAACATGACAGATACAAACAACGCCTGAGCCGTGAGTATGGGCAACAGCACCACACGAGGAAAGTAAGACAGAGGCTTTACCCTAAGACCGACTTCCCAGTCTCCTCCGGCTTGCGAACGGTGAAGGGGCTCGGATCAATTCCAACGGTCTTTGGCATAAACTCCCTGGAAAAATATTTTTAATTCACCAGATAAAATACTCAAAAGTTGGAGTTCTTCTCATAGAAATCTCTGCACAAGATTTTCTTTTAATGAAATACAAAAGAACATTGATTTAATTTGAATGAAGGTTTATCGACCATTTCTCACCACAGTATCAAGATTATTTTTGTGCTGGAATTTTCATGTAATTATGCCCTCTTTTTAGCAACTGCATTTTCATGTATTGTAAAACTTGTCATGCAAATATATTACTATCCACACAATCTGAACCATTTCCCAGGTCATACAGCCACAGACATAAGCATAGGTGCCCTGCATCTATGCAACCAAATTGTTCACTTATTTATCAGATGTTGCTGGTATATTTCTAGTGAATTCACTCATTTCAGACACAGAAGGTGAACATTAACATCCGTAACTTTACAGTCAAGCTTGCAGTGTTGTCAGACAGGACTGTGTGGCTCCACCAGTCAGTGCTAACTGAATTTTAACAAGATTCCTGTTAAATCATTAAACAGGTTATCTTAACTGTGTTGAACATGTGCATGCATTAGACATTCACGATTTGGTGTTATGTTCTGACACTTAATGCATGAACATGTAACTTGTGTTGAAAACGCTTCCCTCACAATCTTTACACAGCTGCCATCAATTCTTTACATTGTGACTGCACTGCATTTTGGCAGCTCATTTCAATTGAAAAAAGTACATTTTGAGTCAGTGGCATCCAATGTGAGGCCTTTCCAAATGACTCCTACTGTACCTTAACACAGCAACTGAGAAGAGATAACCAGCATGCTAACCAAAAATAAAAAAAGAACAGAACAAAAGAGCAGTATTAAAAAAGGCAGTAGGAAGGGTGAAAATGTTGTGTATGAAGCAGTGATGCAAGTCTTTTCAGATTGCAATTCACCTGTGCTATGGATGGAATAGTTCTCAGTGGTATAAGAGGCTGAAATACCAAAGTAAACAACATACCGTGCTGAGTTCGTCATTGCCAGGCAGAAGGTATCGTCAAAACAGCTCAGCTCATAGGGCTTGAAGAACTCAGTATAGGTGTCGATGCTTTCATCGTATCTGTTGAGCCTCTTCACCATTACCTTCTCTCGGTTTTCATCACACGGGACTACGCATTTTGGGAATGAGAGGGAACCCAAGAGAAAAACCACACATCATGCAATGACAGGAGGTGCAGGTCTTTTAACACATCTCATTTAGTGTGGGCTTGAGAAACTGTGTGAGCTTGATCCTTTCAAAGTCAGTTATGTTCTCAGCAAAGAGGAAACACAAAACTCCAGATTCAGAATGTATTACAGCTTGTCCAAAGAAGGTTTGTAATCACATAGAGCATAGCTGGAATATCTTGATGTAGTCCAGATTTCTATAATAATTTGTAAAATAAAAAGTCATCAGGATTTTGACTTTGAAGGATTGAAGGATTTGTGCTGTGAAACTACTTGTGTGTGCACTTTAGCTCTCTCTCCTTGGAATTATTGTCTTCAAAAATTCATCTTTGGAGACCTCAGGGAGTAAGAATGTGGCAGATTAGTCTGTGGCTGTGTTGGCCATTCTCTTCAAGAAAATCACATTTTAATATTGAACACTAAACAGAAATACTGTAGTGCTTAGTTGAAATTGTTTTTGGTCTGTACATCTGGACTGTTACACACAGTGGAGGAGCACCTTTTATGTGCTGCATGCGGCTTCAGGGGCATAATCAAGCTGTTTTGAAATGGTAAGAAATCCCCTGAGAAATATTTAAAACTACAGGATACATTTGTGGAAATGCTAACCCCCCCGAGCCACAATCCAGATTACAATTGGCTGCTCAGTCTCAAAAAGGCATCCATCACTGCAGGATTAGTCAAGAGGTCTTAAGTTCCTCTTTTCCTTTGAAACCACTCTAGACTCCTCTATTGCCCCAGAGGAGCCAGGACAGACCAATTCTTCTCAAACTACTCTTAATTCTCCATCTTTCCTTCTCACAAATTCTAAACTCTTTTTCATTCCCCAGAATTCCCGGCACACTCAGCTGGGCTCTCGCATCCATGACAAGTCTTCCCTTCGCTGGAGGAAACAGGTTCCCTGTCTCATCGGAGACCTACTTGTACGCCTTACTCGGCTTAACCACCGGCGCGGTTTCCAACTATAAACAGTCATCTATTACTGTACAAAAAACTATGGAGAACACAAACATGTCCAGGAAAACAGTTACACACTAGAAAACAAAATGCTAAATTCTCTCCAGATTCATCTTTTCTTAATCCAAATTATGACAGAATCTCTTCAAACCTAAAACTGGCATTAGGACTGCCAGCTGGTTGTGGATATTAAAAACACAAAAGCTGGATGCTGTAAACATTCCTGTGTTATCTAAAGTTCCAACACGTTAGGATGCCACTACCACTCTTGCCCCCCCAATGCAGCCCCCCGCCTTCTGTACCTGACTGCTCCTATACTGACTTCTGCTGCACCTGAGGAATGTCCAGCTGCGCACAGGACCAACCAGATGAATCCTTGTCTGCCTGTGGAATTCCATTCCATTGCAATGGAGGCAGATCAGTCAGTGAAGCCAGGTGTTCCATCTCTAGAAGGACTGCTCCATCACCAAAATACATTTGCAAGTCAACCAACAAAACCACATGCTTACCTTCATCATATGGTAAAGGCAGATAGGACAGAATTCCTTCAGTCCACCAGAATGTATAGCTATGGAGAAGAGGTAAACAAAAAAGGGTACTTTTATCATGTTTTAACTTGTCCAATATAGTCAACTGCATCAGAAAGAGGTGGCAAATAAACACTGAAAGCAGCTCAGTGCGAAATTCACCTCTGTTGGTGGCAGTCTTCGATTTAAAAAACAAATTATAATAATAAAAAAAAATGTCTTAAGCAACAGCAGTCAGTACAAACATTCATTAAGAAAAAACATCATCTTTGGAAATAATTAACAGAATGGAGTAGGCAACCCCTTATCCATGTGCTTTCTCTTGCACATGCTACCAACATAAAAGTTGAGTAGGAAGACGAGTGCTCATTACTTGAGATCTTGAGCCTCTTGAACCTTCAAATCTGCCATACTTACTGCACTTTAGAGAACAGATGTTATTGCGTCAGAGTCTAACTTTAATTTTTGTCTAAAAATCCATTTTTACTTGTGACAGTGACTGGATTTGGATTCTCGGCCCCCGTGGATAAAGACTATATGAAGTTGGTCACAAAACCTACTTTCTCGGAGCCGACACACAGAGCGGGGTTCAACTATACACTCTATTAGTTAAAAAAGTAGAAGACTTTAAAATCAAAGGTTGGTCTAGTACTTATGTGTTTAGTACTTCTGTGAAATTCAGCTTACAATATCCATAAATATCTTTTGTATCTACATAAAAGTCTTATTCTGGTTTCTCATCTTTTATCATATTCATTTTCTTTATTATTCAAAAAGCTGGACATTCCATTATGTGCCCTTGACAGTGAATTTGAAATAATCTTTTTTATGCAATTTCTTGCAATTGTGTTTCTCATTATGCAAGCAATTACGCAGTTGATTTGGCTTATTGAACATGCATGTAAAATATAGGTCAGAAGACCAGACTCCTTTTACTATCAGTTCTTATTTATCATACCTGTTCTTTAACAATTTTCATAATAAAGATAAAAACAAAATATACAAAGGGGAAAACACTGCCATCACATGAAAAGATAAACAAACATAGACAGGACAAATGACTCATACAAAGAAAGTTAAGGAAATAGGTCACAGCTGTCCATGGTATTAGATAGAGAAGCAATGGAAAGCATATGTGTTTTACATCATGACATGACCAAACCCGACAGGAAGTGTAAGACCCTGGATGACTAAAAGCTTTAAAGGGGTCATCTGTGCTTCTCAGTCAGACAAGGCTAGACTGTGGTCAGGTGGAGTGATGGCTGTCGTATGGCCATGTGTACCTTGGAATACTTACAAGTTAACAATGTAGATCAAAACAAATAGCATAACATCAAGCCTCTTGAGTACTGTATCCTGTCTGCATTGAACCCTGGGAACCTACACTTCATGCATGAAACCAAACTCATTCAGTGACATTTTGAATGTTTTTGATTAAAATGATAATACAGTACCTCAGCAGATTTCACGTCTCCAGACAAATGAACTAACATAAGAAAATGCTGTAATTATAAAATATCACACTGCTGAGTACTATTTATTATTTTAGATGTGCCTCTCCTCATAAAGGGAGACCAGAAATGTCACAGTCAGATCTACTAATAAAAGACAATTCAAATATATCTTCTATTTGAACCAGAAAACATGGGCTCAAACAACAGAAGCAGAACAGAAGTCAAGAAATGACTTGCTCATTAAACGATTGCTCAGGTTATCTCCCTTAAACCTGGAAATGAGAAGCTCAGGCTTCGTTAAGGTACTGTCACGTCAGGTTAGACAAAGGGTATCAAGGTTGAGTTGTTGCCACAATTGTAGAACAAAGGTTCACACACCTGCGTCTTTCCTGAGGAAGCATCATGGTGTTCTTCTGATGCAGGTAGAAATCCGTGGGGAGCTCCCATAGATGTGGCTTCAATTCTGAAGGCTGAAACACCTGCAGGAAAAGGTTTATGGCATCCTGCCTGTCGGCATCTGTTTCAAGAAAGGGATGCACTAATTACGATGCTGAAATGTAGCTTTCTGATAAATATGTATTAATACAAAAATAGATCACTACAGGTATCCCAGTTGTTCAACTAATATTAAGAATCAATAAACATTAATTTTGAGTGAGAGCTTTGAAAAGAATCACATTGGTGATGGACATAGTTTTATCAGCTCTATTGAGGCAAAGACACATTAGGAAACTAAGAAAAAAAGTATAAGGGTCTCTGGCCACAGCACTCTATACACAAAAAGTCTAGCTGCTAGCATAAAACGTGCAGAATTAGTTAAAGAATATGAATAGTGGTTCACTGCATAAAGAAAGGTTTACTGAGGGATGTTGGAAAAACAGAGATGTTTTCGACATGTGACAGATGTTTTATCAGATCGCCTACAGACTTTCTCATAAAAATCATTAAACTTTCTGCTTTCTCAGTGAGCCTCTTCACACCTCTCATGCCACTAGTTGTTGGTCACGTGTTCATTTATTCAGCACTATGTATATTTACCGCCGATAACAAAAGCACATAATTATTGAGTAAATAAAGAGAACATAATTACCTCCTTTGTGACGAACATTCAGTAATGTGTCAAAGTAATTCAAGCTTTGATTTCTTGAATAAACCAGCGCACTAATGCAGACAGACACTGGCACTCTGAAATCACTCACAGGCACACGTGACTTATTTAAAACCCAAAGAACTAATTTAGCTAAGACTCTAAACAACCTTAAAAATTAGTCAAAGCAAGGATCAAACAAGTTTTTTTGGAGAAAACGGAAGCACACGTTTTTGTATCCCACTCTAGCTCAATAACGTGAATTAATCGACAGCTCTTGGTCATACATTAGGAAGGGTGGATGTTGTTTAATTATCTTGAGGGGCTTTTTGTAGGTCTGCAGAATTGCATGTGGTCTAATCTGCACGCAAACCCAGAACACACTTTAAAAATGCTTATAAAAATGTTTAATTGAAACACAGCAGAGGGAGGTGCTGTGCACAGGGAGGTGCCTATTACTGCTGCCTCACAGCTCTTAGGTTCAGAATTGCAGCCCCTTCTGTGTGGGGCCAAGAATATTTACCCGCTGTGGATTTGGGAAAAGATCAGTGGAGCAGCGATGCTCGCCAGGAGTAAGCAGCTTCCCTAATACATACAGATGAACTGCGACTTTTACAGAGCACTCGAAAAGTGTTACACTGTTATCTAAACAAGGATTTTCCCCCTGAACTGTACTAATCATTTCGCATGACAAAAAACAGGAAAAAAGATAAGTATAACTCGTAAATATTTTATGTTAATAAAGTGAATTCAGTTCTACCCACATGGGTCAATCTTAAACAATTTTCATTGTGTGGAACCTCTCCATTTCAAACACATACAGTTGAAGTGTGAGAACAATGGGCTGAAAGGTGTTTGTGGTTGAAAATGTTTGTTATTACGGGGTGCTTCAACGCACAGCATGACAATGACCCCAAAACACACAACTAAGAAATTCATCAGAACCAAAACGGTTAAATCTCAGACTGACTATGTCTCGATCACATTCATATTTGAATCCAACCGAGCAAGCATTTTACATGCAGATGAAAGAGATGAAGTTGTGAACGCCCACAGAATGTGGAACAACGCAGAGGAGATAAAGTAAAGGTTTGGAAAAGCATCTAAATATAAATGATAATGCAAAAGGTTTGGTAAGCCCAACGGGTGATAGACTTCATGCAGTTATTGTCTTAATGGTATAAGCTTTAACTCTCTGGAAAGTAAATAAAGAGAATGTGCTCCATTACTCATGATCACGTGAAAACATTGGCTTGAACATGAATATGGTTTTGTTCTAATGTGATTAGAATAGATAAGACTTTATTGACCCTGAAGGGAAACTGAGATAAATAAAGCATTATTTATTTATTAAATGCATGCATAGAATTACTCAAAAATGATATATGTATATGTATCACTCATATTAAGCTCATGATCACATATACAAATTGCTTGAATGGAAAGCAATAATATTGGACAAACATTTGGAGGGCACAGCACATAAGAGAAGAGAAAATGATTCATCATTCGACATCTGGACAGCTAACTGAACGGATCACCTCAACAATGAAATGGAAAATTAAGAATTTAGGTTTAGGGCTGAGAGCAAGAAATACTGCTTAACACAAATCTCAGAGGGTATCTGGAATAAACTGCCCACACATACTGAAGGGAATCACTTGAGTTCTTTTACGAAATGGCAAGATGTGATCCTTAAAACCATGAACTAAAATCAAACAAGCAAGTGAAAAGATCTAAATGGCCTCCTCTCATTGCTAATCTTTTTTTAAGTTCTTAATAAATCATGGCAACCACACTATAAAAATATTTGCTTTCATAATTCTGATATGTTCTAAAATGCCATAGATTCACAGCAGCAGATTCAGGATGTCAGACTCTTGCGAGGATCAATATCCCTCTACCTCATCCCACCCACTTGTAGAGCCACACCAGTTGACTGTCTCACTAAAAGCAGTTGGCAATGGAGCAAATCTGCACTTTGAATGATTTTCACTGTCCATCTATATATTATCGATAACAATTTTTCCCGGAACAATATTTACAGATGCTGTACTAACCTGAAGAGAAACTACATGTGGCCAATGTGTACAGGTGTTTAAAAGTACATGTGCCACACAGTAGAAAGCAATTTCCATGAAGAATGTTCTTTTTTACATTGGACAATACATGTTTTTTTAGAAAAATAATGCTTTTAACAGCTAAGTAAAGATAGCAACAACAAATGAATCACCTTGGATGAATGAATCACCTTCCCTTTGGTTACTCACACACTGCTTGTGGATTCAACAAAGAGCCCATCATACTGCTTTATTTATTGGGGTCTGATGCAGTGGCGCACAATATTTCCACAGACACAGAAATAAGGCATTCAAGAATTCCAATAATATGATATGCACTGAATTTCAGAATGCAAATTTTAATGTTAATTTAATATTTAATGTTATTTTTCTAAAGCATTATTACTACACAAATTCTATAGCACAATCATACTTTTTTAGAAAATTATTTTTTATAAATTGTATTTGATTATTAGGACTGATATCAGTTCAAATTACATACAAATCATTGCTTTTCATTTACGATCATTCAGATACTCTGTGACCAGTCTGGTCCAGTAATTTAAATTATTATTGGAGATGAATAATAATCCAAAAATGAATACAAAATTATCTTAAAGGAAAGACCAATGTCACTGTAATCCTGACTCTGGTGGCCAACACATATTTGTTTCTATGTAGAAAGTTTAATGTTGTATATTATACATGAGTATAATCAGCTTTTTTGTTTTTCTTGGCACAGTTCACCACTGATGAACTGCATGTTCTTTACATCGTCTATGATATGCAAAGCATTTTGTAAAAAGGGACCCACATTATGAAGACAAAGTTAGAGTGCTATTATCAGCTAAATTTTGCAGGGAATGGCATATACCGTACATCAATTTCCACATCAGATCTCTTTCTGTACATTTATTTAAAGTGCAAAAATAATTATTACATTTTAGTTTTAGCTACAACCCATTATGTCCATCCCCCAAGTCTATACAACCGAAAGGAAAAAAAAAGGTAAAAGACCTGTGCTTCTTTCAACAAGAAGATCCAGGAGATCACAAAGAAAGGAAAGATAAGTCTCCATTGTAAAGGAAAAAAAGGTCAAATGTGATGTTTCCACTCATAGGCTTTCTTCTTTATTTACTTTATATACAGACGAAGAAAGGCTTTCAGATGGGAGACATCTCCCAGGGACTTTCTGTCAACAGTTCAAGCAATGTTTTCCTCCTGCAGTTTGTATTATGACCTCCCCTTTACACAGATTTTCCTTCACTTATTTCCATGCTAGCTCTTCCACTCAGCTCCAAAAACCCGCATGTTACAGTATCTTCTTTTAAAAGATCAAAGCTTTAAATAAAAAATAGCCATTGAAAGCATTGATGTGAAACAAGTAAATTAGTTAGATTTTTTTAAATTGACTTAAACCTAAAACAAAAACACAACAACAATATGTTTTTGACTAAATTTACCACCTTATCTATTAACAAAAAAATGATCACTTCTTCTTTCACAGAACAATCTTCAATAAAAGATCTGCAACAATTCTAAGAGGATGTTTATAACAAAGCTTGTGGTTAAGGTTGACTGAAAAGTTAACTGTTCTTTTTACTTCAGAGGTGTTGACAAACATGTCATTCTTAAGAGAAGCAACTGAAAATTATATTTACATACCATTTCATCGCCTCACGTCCCTGTCCTGCAGTCAAAGTTTCACTGGAGTCAATACTACCTTATCGCGAATGATCTTTGACGGCACATTTTTCTGATGCATAACTTACCACAATTTTCCAATGAACTTCCTGGGGTCTTTAATCAAGCTGATAATTATGAATATTTTCTTAATCGATGATGATCAGACACAGGCAGGAATGACAAGGTATCCAACATACCCCATGTCACAAAGTCTCTCTTTTTTCCTTCAGCAAAAGTCCAATTGGATACATTTAAATTAGCATATCTGAATGAGAGACTTTCTGAAACTCAGGAACTGGCAGAGGGTCTAGTCAAATTATAACTCACATATAAGTTTTGCAAAAAGCTGAATTAAAGTCTAAAACACACTTAAATCAGAAAACTGAATCGATTATCAAGTGGTTGAAAACTCAGCAGGAGTAGAACCTTAAGGAGACAATGGTGTCCCGGAACCAGGATGGGGGACCACTGTTCAGTGGGTTTTCTAGGTCTCTGTAGCATCTGAAACTGGGAAAAATGGTCCAATCAAGCCAGTAAGTCTGATTTAGCTCGTTAACAGCAGAGTGGAGGTGAAACAAAACAACACCTACTATACAAAAGAACAACCTCTTGGCTATATAAATAAGAGAAATGTTTTGTTGCAGTGTCTGCAGTGTTGGAGACTTTCATTTAGTTCCAGCAATG